TGACTGGGAAGATTCTACATTGGTGGCATCAGTATGGCAATATTTATTTATTAATAAGTCTTTATGCTAGTCAGCCTCTTGGTAAAGCTTTCTCAAGCTAAGTTTAGCTGGTGAAATAAAGCTTTCACTACAGTATATCTTTCAGATTTTTCTGTTCTAAGTGACTGTACATAATTCCACAAGCTGTGTGCTCTGAGCTTATACTTCTCCTAATAAAATTGTAAAAACCGCCAGTATTTTGAGATTCTTGATTTGCATTACCACTGTGAATAGTGAAAAGAAGACAGCTATTTTCTGCAATTTTCTAACCACTTGTATTAGAAAAAAAATATAATGACAACAGCCAGAGAGTATTTTCAGTTTTTTGGCAGGGGTTTTCTGCTTTTGCCATTGTGGGGGTAACTTGAAAAAGAGCCCACCCCAGCAATTTAAGTTTAATAATTCTCTTAGGTTTAATAGTTCAGTTTCTAGTGTCACTCCTGGAAGCTTCTTCCACTATGAAGGTTTCTTACTTTTTTTTTTGAAGGTAAGTGCCTATGACAGTAACACTGTATTTCATTATTTGTGATTCATTATAAAATTATTTTTTTATATTTTTAATGATCAGATTTAAACCATTAAGTCTCTTGGCTAAATAACTATTGACTACTGAAAATTCTCCTAACGAAGAAAGCATGTAAGATTTGCTCATAACATGTTCTGAAATTATTCTGTAATACTTTTATTGTATTTTATGCGAGATAGGAGATTATCAAAATAGATTTATTTAACGGGGTTTTAATAGCTATGTTACATTAATAGGAAGAATCCTGTGATTGTTTGTATATGAAAATTTTGATTGGGAAGCAGGAAAAAAAACCACATTTCATTCCAGTGTAAAACTTTAGATATGACTGACCTGGGTAGGTGCTGCCATTGTAACCGTGTAATAAGGACAGCTTTTCTGATACAGCAACAGCATAAAGGAACTGAGTTTGCTATCAAGTAAACTTCCTAGACAGGCATGTTTTGACATCTGCTCAACGTCTGCAGATATTAACATTGAGCATATTAGTAAGAGCAGAGCTTTTCCTTGCTCAGTTGTCTTTTCTGTAGCTGTTGGATTGCAATTACTTAAAATTATAATTTGTTTTTATAGAACACTTCTTAACACAGTCTAGAAACAATAGTTTCATCCTCAGAGCATTTTCTAAGTAGAATGTTTGGGATTTTAATTAGACAGCAATAATGCAGTTCTATTTTTGCAAAACATCAGTTATTAGAAGACACGTAATTTGTGACACGTAAATGTTTGGAAAACCCATTTGATGTTTTGTAAATTATAAAGCCAGTACTTACCGTCACTTCCTGATGGCAATTTCAGAACAGAATTCTCATCCCGTGATGCTGCTGTGAAAATGATACTTAAACACTTAAGTTTTCTGTATCCCTTTCCACGTGTGTTATTTCCTGCCTGATCTCTGCTTGCCAGTTTGCTTTTTCTTTCCCTCAGATTCCCTGGACTGAATTCTCATTGCTTGGTGCTTTCGGTTTTTTCCTCCGATGCTGCTGGTGGCATGGTTTCTTTGTCTCTTCCACTTAAATTCATGCAAGGGCACATCTTGTGTCTAAATATGCTGTTGCCTTCCTTTTCAAAGAACCCACAGGAGAAAAAAATAATATTTTTTCCCTCCCTCTCTTGCTTGCTTCCCCTTGAACAGTGGACTGCCTGAGCATTCCTGTTATATGCTCTTGTGTGTGCACCGGTGATGCTGTGAGTGATTAATGTTAGCACTTTGATGACATCAGCAACTAGCAACTCTCTCTTTAAAAAAAAAAAAAATTAAGTAGGGGAGGGAGCAAGCATAGCTTAAAAAAATAATGAACTATCTCTTTCCTTCCCTCCCTCTCCACTCCCCCCCCCTTTGTTAGTGGCTCCTTCCCTAAGCATTTTATGCTTTTGTGCATCATGAGGGGGAAGTGGCAGTCACGGTTCACAAAGCTCTGCTAATCCAGCATTTACAGGTGGACTGTTTTGGGTTCATCCCCATGAGGTTGCATTAAGGAAAGATGTGGGTTTTTTTTTTAGATTGGAAAGCTCTGCTAATCCAGCATTTACAGGTGGATTGTTTTGGGTACATCCCCATGAGGTTGCATTAAAGAAAGATGTGAGGTTTTTTTTAGATTGACTGGCTTCTTATTGCTGAATATTTAAACACTGAAATCATGTTTGTAGGGCTTGCTTTAGCATGAGAAATTTCTACTGTGTGGAGACGAGTTCCCTCCCCTTAACCTAATGGCAGTGAAATGCTTTCACCTCCTGAAGTAAAATTCTCCTTGTGCTGTAGCCAGGATAGATGGTTTGAACACATTTGTTGTGGAAACATGAAAAGCATTCTAGGGATGGTTGTATAAATGCTTATTGTATCAGGACATTGATGTGCACATATTTGCTTAAGGTTTTACCAGTTCTCTCCCCCACTGATGCCCCAGATCCCTCTTCTGTGTGTGGAGAGCTATAGGAATGCAAGCACATTGTACTAGAGGGATGCAGCTTCAGGCTGCCCACGTGGTGGGGTGTGTTTGGAGTTTGGCCCTTTAACCAGCTCTGATCTAAGCAGGAGGACCATGTCCTCTAATAATTAGCCAAGTGTCTATTCCAGTTTGCATTCCCAGAAAAGATGGCTGCGTATCTGGAAAGAGCCCTCCTCCGCAAAGTCAACACGAGCCTCACAGTCCTTAGAACTGAGCTTCCCAGACTGATGGATAACTGAGACCAGGGGACCTTCCAGAGCTGGGTGACCCGCAGCAGGTTGCTTGTGGACGTGTCCAGTTGGATCTTAAACATCTCAAGGACAGAGTCTCTACAGCCTTTCTGTAGTGACGTGTTTTCTGATGTATAAATGGGACTTCCTGTCTGTGCCCATTGCCCTTTGACCCGTCACTGGGCACCACTGAGCAGATCTGGCTCCCTCATTTTTACCCCACCCTCAGTTATTTACGCACATGGATGTGATCCCCTGGAGCCTTCTCTTTTCCAGGCTTGAACGGTCCCAGTTCTCTCAACCTTTCCTCATAGGAAAGATGCTCCAGTCCCTTCATCATCTCTGAGGCCCGCTGCTGGGCTCTCCTATAGGTGTATCCGTGTCTTTCCTGTACTGGGAGGCCCACCACTGAACCCAGTACTGCAGGTGTGTCTCTCCCATGCTGAGTAGAGGGGACAGATCGCCCCCTTCAACAGCGCTCTGCCTAATGCAGCCCTGCTGGCTGTTTGTCCACCTTTGCCGCAAGGATGTACTGCTGGCTAGTGGTCAGCTTCTTGTTCCCCAGGACCCTCAGGAAAAGAAAACAAAACAAAACAAAAAAAACAAAACCCAAAAAACTACCAACCCCTCCCTTCTGCATATCAGGCCATCTTGCTGCATGGTTCTGTCACACAGAAGTTCAGGCGTGCATGAAATATAACTAAACCTTTATATAAGTTTTAGTGCTTGCAATTGCTTGAATTCTCACATTGCAACAATAAACTGCTGGTTATAACTTTCTGTGAGTGTTGAAGCATGATAAAATTGATGTAATCTTCTATGTGTGAGTAATAATAATTACTTAATAACACTAACAAAGTTTCTCACTTAGGCCTGGAGTTGCCTGATTGAGAAAGTTTCTTTTGGGTCTCTGGTTCTTTCTTGTTATGACCTAGATGGTCTCTTCTGAGCCTTTCTTATATTTCTTTCATAGTGCAACAATTTTTGACCCAGAAGGGTTTGTGAAGTATGTCTAAGGCATCCACAAAAGGTGACTAAGAAGTGTTAACCTGTTGCCAAATTTGCATTCACTGTATATCAGTCTAGAATCCACTTCTGAAGTGTCTAAGACCACAGTTCTGAACATCTTGGGTGTTTTATGTAGAGATTCACATAATGTGAGTGTGGAAGGATGACAGAAGGATGGTCCTTCTGTCCCAATCTCTTTTCTTTTAAGAGTCTAAAAATCTCCAGGAGCTTGGTAGTTTCATGACTTTGAATTCCTAGTAGTTCCTCTGTGCAATGCACATATCACAGTATCTGGTGTTGCCTTGCGTGGATAATTGGGGCAGGATCTGAAGGGAAGGTCACTGTTTTTCCTGACTACTGGCAAAGGAAAATGTTCTGTTACAGCTGATGTGTGTGAAGCTGAAAGCCTCAGAGTGTCCTGTCTTTTGTGTGTGTATTAGAAAGAACGAAAACTGCAGAGAAGGAAAGGAAACAGAACAGAACCTTCTACAAGAAAGGCTGACAAGATTGCCTTTTAAAATTAAAAGTCGGGACATTAGGAGAACAACCCTCCTACAGGAATGGAGGATGTGAAGTTAGCTAACTCCTCTTTGATCCACGGCTTCAGCAAACGCTTCCTAAACCCGCGAACAGCATCGGGCTGTACAGTCGCCTCATTAATACGGCAAAGTGCCTGGTCCTGTTTATACAACTCTGGAAGGATTTCCATGAGGTTATGTCCTCGAGTTGGATTTGCTTTGATCATGTGTACAAATAAGGGATTTGAAAAGGAGAGATCCTGATTAATTAGCTGCAGAGAGCCGTAACTGCAGAAGGCTGGGATTTTTTTTGTAGTTGACTCCTCAGAGACTTAAACCGCCTCTTAGGAACTGAATATTGAAGTAACGGCTTTCGAGGTGTAAAATGGATGATAGAGGAATAGAAGCTGTGCTTTAAATTCAGAGATCTGAACATTGGCATTGACTATTCTTATCCTTTCACAAAAGAGAAAATGTCCATGGCTTTATAAAGGGAAAGTGGAAGATGCCTGGTGGGAAAAAAAAAGTGTATACAAGTTTTTCTTGCTAATACAGAGATTTTGTTTGGAGTTCCTGCCTTATAAAAGAGAAGCTTTGTATTTTAACTTCCTGGAGATAGTGAGATACGATGTTATTTTTAATATACCTTCAAATGCTGTTTAAATGGGATTAACTGTAAAGACATAGTTAGCTGAAATTGTCATTAATCATATCTATTCTCTTGTTTTAGGCATTGAATCTGGCATATTCCAGCATCTACAGCAACTACAGGAATTTTGTCGGTCCCCCTCACTTTAAAGTCATCTGTAGACTTCTCGGATATCAGGGTATTGCTGTGGTGATGGAGGAGTTGCTGAAAGTTGTCAAGAGTCTGGTATGCCAACTGTCTTTGATTTTCTGCTATTCCAAATGGTTTCTGATAGGAAATGTCACAAGAAAAACAAACTGCAAGTAAGATCTCAGATGCACTCTGTGTTTGAGAGTACTCAATGTCTTGTGAGACCAGTAGAAGGTGTGCTTGGTAGCCTGAACTGCATTTTGAAAAGCTTGGATTCTTCATAGGAGATTAATTTAATTTGTGGAGACTTGTGCTGTTAGATCTGAGGTAAAATCTGGGAAAGTATGAATTTTTGAAATTTGTTGATTTCAATGTAAAGATTTTATTGTAAATTCACTTCCTCGGTATTTTTTGAGAACATCTGGAGTGTGCTTTTTGCTGAACTTCAGGGCTTTCATTAATAACATTGTTGACAGATGACGCCTTAATAACAGGGAAGGTTTAATCTCTGCTTGATCTAGCAATGGATAGCATCAAACCTATTTAGAAGAGTGCTCAGGCCAGATGTTCAAGAATTTATCTATACAGCCTGGGTACCTTGTATTGGAAAGAGCCTTTCCTATAAACATGAGGAGCCTGGGGGACTCGCTGATCACTATATAATTACTACCTCTGTGTGTATACATTTATGATGCATTGCAGTTAAGTTTAAGCCAAAGAAATTGTCATTTGCTCCACGTCCGGGCTACCTGTAAGGAACACGCTGCCAAAATAAACCAACTATACTGAGGGATAGCTGTAGTATTTGTAGTATTGCTTTGGACACTTGACACTTTCAGCAAGTTGTTCACCGTAATTTCCACCATGTTCTAAGTAGGTTTTTGATGTTCTAGAAAGGCTGGAGCCTGCTTGAAGAGGTGATGTGCTCTAATTTTTTGGCAAAAAGGAAAACAGATATTATGTGGGCTTTTTTTCGTGATTGAGTGTTAGTTTGTTGATTTTGGGGAGGGGTTATTTATTTAGGTGGTCGATTGTCTCAATTCATGAAAGATAACACTGAACACTTGGATGTTTAAAAAGAAGGTTAAAAAGCCCAGGGAGACATATCCTGCTAATGCAGGATAGGGGTGTAGGTGTAGGGGGTTGGATTTGAGATACGTGTCTAGTGGGAAGAAGTCAGCCTCATGGTGGGCTGGGACTGTGTCTTGACTAATATGTCCAGAATAGCCCATCTGAGCCGTTACAGACAAGCCTAATGATAAGGATTCTTCTATTGTTACTTTTGAAAGCATTCAAGTGCAACTTTTAGCCAAAAATCTAAAGATTAGTTAGACAGTAGAGACAGTCTCAAAGAAAAAACACAATTTATATATTTTTTAACCTTCCTGGCCTTAGCTGTGGCTGATCATCTGAAGGGAAGTGCAGGTGCAATCATTTGAAAAAGCTAGTTTTCTGAAGATGATGACTGCCAGAATTGAATTCTAGCGCTTGTTAAGTTCCCGTGTGGTTTGAATGTGATTTGTTGTAAAGTTTCTCAGTTCAGTAACACCGACATGTTTACACACATCTGTTTTCTCTTAGTTACAAGGGACGATTCTTCAGTATGTCAAGACCCTAATGGAGGTGATGCCCAAGATCTGTAGGTTGCCGAGACATGAGTACGGTTCTCCAGGTTAGTTCGTGGTTGGTGTTGCCATAGCAGCCTCAGTAAGCTGCTACTAATCACGGTCTTCTGGCTCGTGTGTGCTTTCACCTGTCTTTTCTCCCCTCTCTTCTGGTAGTCAGTGCTTAGTCTGGTGAGATCTTTTGGTGTTTGTGTGCTGGTGGTTTTTGTTTTTTTCCTAACAATAATCATTGAATGCTAGGCTTTCTGAAAGTACTCAAAGTTTTAAGACTTCTGTGCTCGGGGCAAATAAATGGATGATAGTCTGTATAGAGACAGCCTTACCACATCATTGACAGCTGGGCTGTTGACAATAGTTTCTATTTCTAGTCTTTCTCATCGGGGTGTTGAGCTTTGCCCTTTGCAAGTTAGCCTCTCACAGGTGTCCTGTTGAAATATCTGGTTTAGATAACTCTTATTCTCTGGAAGAGCCTCTGTTAGCTCTTTTTTGCCCTTACCGAATGTGAGATAAAAGGAGTGATATTGCTGAGAGGCAAACTGGTCCCACCAGAATAGTTATGTCTGAGACTGGTGTGGAGCGCGTTCTTAGCTGCAGAAGAAGAAATGGCATTGAAAGCTGCTTGCCACTATGGAGAAATAATTGGCTAATTAGGATTTATCACATTGTTCACTGAAATCCTGAAACTGCTTCCCCCCGCTTCAAAATATTCCTCCTCCACAACTTCTAATTAACACAAATTAATCTTTCCATGTGCCACCCACCTCCTGAGTACATTTTTATTTTTCCAGAGTCACTTAAGTTTATTAAATGCCACTCCAGCTGGAGTGAGGTTGGGTTTTTTCTGCTTCCCACAGCTTGCTTGACGCTCATTACCAGTGTTAAACGAAATTGAGGACTTACTAAGTGTTTCCTTCCTGTTTTTCACCCTGGAGTGCAAAAATGGATGAGTCATGGTAGTTAGCAGTATAAAAATAATCTGCCCGAGGTTTTTAGCCAGTTGTTAAGGTCTGACCGCAAAAGCAGTAGGTATTCTCAAATATGGATTATGCATCACCAAGGTCTGTGGTGCTGTGGGTGACATTAGGAAACTCATAGTCTCTTGCCAGAAATCCTCACCTGTAAGGAGTAAATATTTGGCAGGAGATGCCCCAACACTTAAGCAGAAACTTTTTCCTGAGGTTAAAAGGCCAATCTATTCTATAGGAAAGGCAAAACTTGTGCAGTGGTAGCCTTCCCAGGATGGAATAAAACATTTTGAAATCCTTCATCACTTCCCTGTTTTGTGGAGATCACAAAGAGCTTTGACCTCATGTTTACTCTTGCAAAAGAGATCCCACATGTTTAGATGCCTAGTGTACCCAGAGATCAGAGTACCTCTTGGCATTCATGATGGAAGATCATAGCAACAAGAATTGGACTGGATCTCAAAACCTCACCTGATTCTCTGCTCCGTCATGGAGCTGTCTATCCCCAGAGCAGCTCTAACGGGCAAAGGCAAATGTTCTCTGCACTGGGGACGTGCTGTGGATTTTAGCCCTCGTCTGGCATCTTGAGAGGAACTGCCAGATTGTAGAAGGGTAGGCTCAAACCATGCTCGATTCGAATCACTGTCCCCTCCTTTCTGTGCCTAATTCCCCTCTGTAGCAGTCTTTGCCACACCTCATTTGCTCGTTTCGCCACAGAAATTGCAGTACTACGCACCGTTGTCTGACCTCCCCTCTGCCTCCAAAAGCTTCCTGCAGAAGTTAGTAGTTGTAGTAGTAAGTCTGAGTGCGATGGAGCGTGCCTGTATGCCACTTCTATCATTTTCAAATCATTTTATCACTTCTTCGTAATTGGCACTACCTACACAGACAGACCAAAACTGGGATTCCAATCTACAGATTAAATGTGTAGATTCTCATCTGTCTTGATGTAGTACGCGTTTTATCAGTTCAGAGTGGATTTCCTGAGTCCATTCTCCATATGCAAAGCAATTTACGTATGCCTGGTAAGTAAGCCTATAGCTATTTCATATGCTCTGGCCGTTTCATTTGGAGAGCTTTTTTTGGACTCTGTGATTGCAGTTCCTTGAGCCTACATAATCAGTCCTCGAGACTCGTGGATTTCTAAGCGGTGATTTATTCCTGCTAAACGGAGCAGGGTACAGCCAGTGGCATCAGAGTTGCTCAGGACTCCAGTTTGCCAATGGGTTTGTTTCCATAGGAACAGTCTAAAGCAGTGGGGAATTTGCTCATGTTGTAGTCATAAAAATATTTGTCTAAAAATACATTAAGCATAAGGATTTTTAAAGGGACCTTTTAAAGTCACTAAAGCTCTTAAAGGAATATTTGCCTGTAAGAAATTAATCTTGAACTTTCATCTTGGAGGTGACATTTTCTTCTGCTGTTTTTTGAGTATCTGAATAGGGCAT